GGTGGCCTGTGCCCAGTGCATGTGATCGTTCAATAGAGGGGTCTGGTTTCCTGATAAACTGGAATTGGGAGTGGAGTAAGCACCTCCTAAAGAAGGTGAGGAATAGGGCTGGGGCTCTGAATGATTGGTGCAATGAGGAAAAAAAACCCTTTCCCGCCACCTTAACCCTTGTACCATGTGGTGGTGTTTGGGTCCCAGCAACAGTGCTGGGCCCAGGTATAATAGGGGGTGGGGTTGCCGGCAGGCAGCTCTCCACCAGGTAGAAGCAGGGCCAGATTTACATCTCATGTGCCCCCAGGCACAGCATCTTTAGCGCCCCCCTGCCTACAGCTGACCTTCATGTTTTCTGTAAAATATGAAACTTTTAACCCACTTTTAACTTTTAGGCACCCCTTGGCACGTGCCTACTGTGCCTAACTGGAAATCTGGCCCTGGGTGGAATGGATTTCAAAGGAAGGATGCCTTCAACTGGACAAGTTTTTTCCAGATCTATTTCCAGGTTTGACACTTATTAAAGTTGCAGCTTAGTTAAACCACAGTTAAACCAACAGTCTTGCCTGTCCTCCTTACATTTCTGGAACAAATGCTATATCTAGCATCTTTATAGAATATGTACAATATTTTTTAAACTTCTGTAAAAAATGTTATATATGTAATCAAAAACAGGAAGACTGAAGGATTCCTCATCTGGTATCTAACCCTCTGATCTAAACCTTTCAATTGCTCCCTCTGGCACGCTACACCATATTCTTGAGCCTCCCTTACACTTTAAGTTCTTAGTCATTAGGACAAATTCCTAATTCAAATTCAAAATCCTAGAGTTCACTTATGATTATGGAGTTATGACAGCTACTAATTTGGCAAATATGCATCACAGGAGAATAGTCTTAAAGTGAGAGAGGAGGGAGAAGTCAACATGGGCCTGTCCAGCATTCAAGCAGAATATGAGGACATATTTCAAGGAGACAGACCCTAAAGGGCAAGCTGCAGAAACTGATACCCATGGGCTGCACATAAGGCTACCAAAATGCAGAGTTCCATTAGCTCTAGTGAAGCCACTGAAGAAGGAACTGGCAAACCTGCAAAGAGGCATCCTTACACTCACTGAAACCAGCACAGAGTGGATCAGAATTCCATTAGCGCTGAGAAAACCTTCAGGTAAATAGAGGATTTGCATTGACCCAAAACCACTGAACAGAGCATTGAGAGATCACTACCGATTACCAATGACTGAGGACACACTATTCAATTTATCCATGGCAAAAGTGATATCAAGAATGAGTTCTGGCATGTGGAGCTAGGAACTGCAGAGTATGAATGCCTCTGGGCATCAGTCTGGCCCCAGAGGTGTTCCAGTGTAAACTGAACTAGGCCTCATCCGACAGACTCCCAGGCATAAAGACTGTAGCTGATGACATTCTTATTGTAGGAGACGGATATGACTAAAAAGAGGTAATCCAGGACCATGATACCAAGCTGCAGTAACTCAAACTAGTGCCATGAGTGGAATATTGGGTTGAATGCACACAAGCTGAAGATGAGGAGAACTGAGGTCCCCGATGTCAGACATCTGTTGACCTCTGAGGGACTCCAGCCAGTCTCCAAGACACTGACAAACATTAAGGAAATGCCCTGGCCAAAGGAAGTGAAGGGAGTCCAGCAATTTATATTAATGGCCAACTCTCTACACAGATTCAGTGCACATCGATAAGAAGTCTGGTAGCCCATGAGACAGTTAACACACAATTATGCAGTGTGGGAATGGTGAGAGACTCAAGAAGCAGCATTTGAAGGAGTAAAGAAAATCATAAGCAAGGCACCAGTCCTGAAGTACTACAGCCCTGCAGAACAGCTAGAGCTTCAGCGTGATGTCTCAGAAGAGCAACAAAGTCAGCAGCCCACAGAATTTGCTATTCGAGCCCTGACAGACACAGAAAGAGGGTATGCACAGATAGAAAAGGATCCACGGGCTGTGGTATGTGGAATGGAACGCCAACAGTCAGGGGTGAAAGTAACTTAAAGGACTTACCCGTACACCAGAGTCCTGAGTGGGGCGTGGCCTCAACCAGAAGAGGCGTGGCCCCTTTAAATCACCCAGGAGCTACCAGCTACAGAGGCGACTGGGAGCCCCAGGGCAAATTAAAGGGCCCGGGGCTCTGGCCGCCGCAGAGCTCCGGGCCCTTTAAATCACCGCAGGAGCCCTGCCGCCGCTATCCCGGGGCAGCAGGGCTCGGGCTACGGCTGGGCTAGCGGTGGCAGGGCTCCGGAGGCGATTTAAAGGGCCCGGGGGTCCAGCCGCTGTGGGGAGCCCCAGGCCCTTTAAATCGCCTCTGGAGCCCTGCCGCCGCTGGGACAGCGGTAGCAGGGCTCCGGCCACTGCAGAGAGCCCCAGGCCCTTTAAAGCGCCACCGGAGCTCCAGCAGCAGGGCTCAGGTGGCGCTTTAAATCCCCGCCCGAGCCCAGCTGCCAGAGCTCTGGAGATGATTTAAAGGGCTCGGGGCTCCCCGCAGCGGCTGGAGCACTGGGCCCTTTAAATCACCAGCAGAGAAGCCAGTGCAGTCCGGCACGGTGTACCGGCTCTTGCCAGTACGCCATACTGTACCGTACCGGCTTACTTTCACCTCTGCCAACAGTTCACCTTTGGGCATAACATAGTTGTGCACTCTGATCAGAAGCTATGAGAAAGTATCATGAAGTCATTGCTGAGAGCACCCAAGTGACAACAACAAATTATGCGTACATCAACCTGCTGGAGTCTATAAAGTATTGTACAAGAAAATCACTACTGGCAGCAGATATGCTGAGTGAGGCATACCTTCCAGAGCACAACACTGATGGCTTTGTGGAACAGAAGATAGAGTCTATCAATATGCTACAATACCGTCACATTTCAGATGGGAGGACCCAGGCAAACGAACAAAACACTGAATAGGGTGGAATGCTAGAGGCACTAAAACAGTTCATACTCCAAGGCTGGCCAGATGCCAAGGAGCAAGTACCGCAGGTGAGGGTTGAACTGTGTGTGCAAGACATGATTTTTTTTAAAAGGAAACTGAGCAGTAATCCCAGCAGATTTAAGAGCAAACATCATGAGACTGATATATGCTTCACACCTGAAAAAGGAAGCATAGTTAAGATGAGCCAGGAAGTGTATCTACTAGTCAGGAATTAATGCCCAATTCGGAGCAGAGCATACACAGAACAGTGCAAGATGTACAACAAATAAAGTAATCAACAGAAGGCGACTACAGCCTCACGAAATCCCAGCTCAACCCTGGGAAAAAGTTAGTTCCTGTTATTAAAAGTTATGTGGTCAAAGTAGGTTACTACACCTCTACCTCGATATAACGCTGTCCTCGGGAGCCAAAAAATCTTACCGCGTTATAGGTGAAACCGCGTTATATCGAACTTGCTTTGATCCACCGGAGTGTGCAGCCCTGCCTCCTGGAGCACTGCTTTACCGTGTTATATCCGAATTCGTGTTATATCGGGTCGTGTTATATTGGGGTAGAGGTGTACTCCAATTTCTGGGAGGTGGACTACCTAGAAAAAACTCAGGCCAGAAGTGTCATCAGGAAACTAAAGGCGCATTTTGCAAGGTATGGCAAACCTGACCTACTATGCTCAGACAATGGGTCACAATACACTACATCCAAAACAAAAAAAAAGACTCAACGCCAAGTTGCCAATCAAAGCCAAGAGACTGATGCCAAAGGCAAAACAGACAGGAAGGGATCATTCTACCTGTCAACATTGGAGTATCGCAATAAACCCTCCCAGGGACTAGAGAGTAGCCCACGACAGAGACTGGTGAGTCAGAGAACCAAGACTCTGCTTCCCAGGAAGGACTGTCTGCTGCAGCCCGGCAAAGGAACAAAGGACAGTACACTGAAACAGTTAAGAGAATGCCAAGCTAAGTGAGCAGCCCACTACAACAAAGGAGCCAAGGATCTGAGGCCACTGCACAGAGGTGAGCAAGTCTACAGTCCAACCTTCAAACACCCACACAAAGCAATGGCACAAGGTAACAGTTCAAGCTGCAATGGAACACTGGTCAAATAAGGTAGGTACAGATTCAGAACAGTGGCAGAGACAAAACTGAAGACAACTGCGGTGTAGTGGTGGACAGGAAGGCAAGGACCAGGAAGACACAAGAAGAACCTCAGCTTTCAACTGGCCTGACACAGGAGAGTTGGAAAAAATGAGGTATATGAGCAATACAGAGAACCAACAGGACACCAACCAACAGAATAAAGGTAGCAACAAGATGGTAGCAAGTGCCCCACCAACAGTGATAACACAAATAAGAAGTAGGAGACTAGTTCAAAGACCAGCACAACTGAAGAATTATGAGGCCTAACAGGCAGCAGTGGGATGGCTGTAAAGGCCATATACCTAGGGGTGGGTTATGTACTAGTAACCTCTGGCCCCGGCAATTCGAACGCTTGTACAAAAGACACAACTACAATTGTTAAAAGGAAAGATGTAGCAACCTGCATGAAACTTGGAGGGAGGAGTACAGGCTGCAGGAGGGAAGAGTCTCTAGTAGGCATGCACATGGCTAGACTGCTAGCTATAACGCTAAACTTATTGCTTTGTCATGCACTGAAACTTTAAAATACACCTCTACCTCGATATAACACCGTCTTCGGGAGCCAAAAAATCTTACCGTGTTATAGGTGAAACCGCGTTATATCAAACTTGCTTTGATTTGCCGGAGTGCGCAGCCCCGCCCCCCCGGAGCACTGCTTTACCGCGTTATATCAGAATTCATGTTATATCGGGTCACGTTATATCAGGGCAGAGGTGTACAACAAACTAGATTTTCAAAAATCAAAGCACACTTTTGAAAATCTGGCCCTAAACTTTTTATAGGTAGTTTCCTATTTTAAGAAAATTCCATCAAACACAAATAAAAATTCAGGACAAAGTACATCTTTAAAAATACTACCTAATGGCAATAATACCAGTGTTAATGCAATTTTTTTTCTTTGACTCACCTCTCCCCCATTAACATACTCCATCACAAAACACAAACGATCCTTTGTCTGGAAGGAATATTTCAAAGACTTAAAGAGAAGAAAAAACAAAAAAAACACAAAAAATTATCTTCACATATTAACCTGATTTCTAGTAATTAGAATGGTAACAAAAATTTAAATGTATCTTGTTAAACAGACAAATTTGATTGCTGGAATGTATCATCACTATTTCCTACTTCTCTATCTGAAGCACTCTACTATGAGAGCCATTGACAAGAAAAGTCTACACGTTTTGCTCACTCAGCAGAGTGTACATTAATAAAATAATTATTTTTTACTATGTTGCCATTAAAAATAAGCACAGTTTTCTACTGGCATTTCTAATCCTACTATGAAATGAAATATCTTCCTCGCTTCCAAATGTGTGGTATTAGCCACACATCTTCCACCACCATCCTCTCCTCATTCTAATACCACCCCAAACCCACTTTTCCCATGGTACCATAAGAAGAGGGATTATAATATTGTGGGAGGAGGGGAGCAAGGAGGAACCTTCAATGGGATTCCTATGTCTGTCTGTCTTATCTTCAGAGCAGATACTGCCTTTATTTTAATGTACTGTACAATGCTGAACATTTTTTCAGTGCCAAATTAGTAATACATAAAATTATATAGAACTTTTTAAAATTAACAACATTTATTATTCATATAATTTAAAATCTTGACTTCCCAAGGTTTGAATGGCTCATGATGGGCCAAAGTCATTCCTGGTGTAAATCTACTGACTATAAATCCATTACAGATATGCATTTGGCCCAATTATTTGAAATGCAGTGTAGCAAGATTCAATGTAATTATGAAAGGATAGATCATGACTTAACAACGTACCTAGAGTAAGTAGAGCTGCACGTTGTTGTGCTGTCCCTAGAGTAGCCCAGGAGGGAGACTGTGGCTAAGGGAGTCAACTGCCCTGCTGTTCTCCCGGCTGCTCTGGGAAGGGAGAAAACTGTGCTGGATCTATACCTGGTACAGCATATAGCTCCCAGACATACCAGCTATGTGACCCGTGGTTTGAGGAGCAAGGCCAAGGCTTTGCCCACTCCCCACCCCATGTACCCATATGCGTCATATGCTCCTTTGTGCTACTAGGCAAGCTGAGCACAATTTGGCCCAAAATGTCTACTTGGTCTGCCAAGTATAGCTATAATGTCAGCCTCAGCCTCCATAAAATAGCTTTTAAAACAGCAAAATGAACAACAAGTCATCACAATAGGACATTATGCTATATACAGAGTTTATGATGAAATTGAATATCTGAATTATATATACGACTTTGAAGGAGAAAATTAGTACTTTTTAAAGGGAGAAACTAAGAAATTATATCAACGTATGTAGTAGAGGCACTATCTATTCCCTGAAGAAGAAAGTTAATTTCAGCTCATCTTCCCCTCTTCCTATTTATCTTTACTTAAAAGAAGCTGGTCACAAATTTTTTGACTAATTTTTTTCATTGGAAACTACCATTTCATCATTTCACCAAACTTTTTTGTTTTGACAAATTTCCTGTTTCAATTTAAAAACAAAAAACCCCTGAAATTGTCAGTGCCCCATTCTCAGCATTTTCAAAACAGAAGTTCACTTTTTCATTGTGAAATCACTTCATTTCAAAATTTTATGTATAATAAAAATAGTTTAAAAATTAAAAAGGTCACAATCAAAATGAAACATTTTGAAATTAATTAAACAAAATGTTTTCACTGAACTGATCCAATATTTCTTTCAGATATTTGGTTCACAAAAATTTTCAGGATTGACCTGCCATCCCAGTTGGGACTAGGAAAACTTTTTGAAATCTCAAAAATTCCTGCAGAAGGGGAAAACCACTTCCTGACCAGCTTGAGAAGGACTATAAGAGGGGCTGACTTGGGAAACTCCGGGAAGACCTCATCTATATGAAGGCAGAGTTCAAGAACCAGAGTTACAGGATTTACTTGAAGCCAAAGATGATGAGTTTTCCATTTACTTTATGCTTAATACCAAATAATAATTTTGTTAATTTATTTAATCTTTCTTGTTACAAATACTAAGATTTTAGGAAATGACATTCCAGACATCAAGTGTAGGTTTCTTTTATCTTGAGTGAATAAACAAATTTACAACTGGTAAATGATCATATCACTAATATTTGTTCAGCACCATAAGCATGGAAGGCACTTTAAGAGATGATGAATCTACTGTCACATGTTCTAGATTCTGAAATGGGCTATGGTAGACATATTCTTGCCTATCTTTATACTCTGAAATTTAAGAAACTTCTGAAGTTCTCATATCTCCCGATATACTTTTATAATAATGTTTTAATATATCTAGTTTAATATAAATCCAAAAAAACCTTTATCAACCATATATCCATTGCTGTCTAAATGGTTGTTTATAAATAAGTTTATATATAGTTTATGATGTTCATATTATAATTAGCCTTATTTTCAAAAATAAGAATAAAAATCTATAATAGTCTCCCAGATTAAAGTTACAATCCACTAAGCATTGTTTTTTGAACATAGTAGAAGACAGGAATAAAACTATTTGTTTTTCTTAATTTTCTGAAAATTTGACATCAATATATTTTTGGGTAAATTGAGAGCAAGGAGGGATTTAACTTAGTTTTATATTGGGAAACTGGTTTTCTTAACTGTAGACTAACCCCTTAATTTGCAGTGAACCTCAAATAGATTTAATCTGTCATTCTATTTCCTTTATTTTGTTAATACATAATAAAAATGGTGAATACATATTATTGTCCATATTACGTATTTTAAAACATTTAATCAGCACACAGCACACAAAGATACTGAACTATTGTTATTAAACATTATGTTTGCCAGACACAAATGTGTGTTTCAGTACCTTGCCTTCAATTTCTAACCATTTAAAATCCACTTTCTTCTAATTAGTCTCTTGACAATGTGTAAAAAATTCTACAACTTAACAATTTTTATTTTAATGGATAAAAGAATCCACACAAAAATGCAACATTTTAATTTTACAGCTAACTTTTTTTGCTTTTATATAATTTAAGCTCTATTAAACTATTAGATCCTTTAGTATTTTTAAACCGCAAACCTTAAATGCATTTTCCAAACTCTAATATCATTTACCATAAACTCAAGATATTTGCCACCCTAACTCGCATGAGTTACAAAGTTTTAAAATGTATTTATTTACAATTTTTTTCCAATAATTGTATATCCCTCAGGTTAAAAATTACCCATTTAAAAAAATTATTCTGTATTCCCAATACTTACCGTTAAAAAAGGGTGTCTAGTATTTTTTAATACTCTGCTTTCTGTAAGAGTGTGAGCCACTTCATCCTGAATAATAAAGGGTTCAACATGAATTGAGAGATGAAAATTATATTTAAATTTATAAGTCTAATTTCACTACTTCAGGAAAGACAAAGATACAAAATCTTAAAATGAGATAGCACATTCAGTTTTGATAATTGCTATTTCTTTTCAAAGAATTCTATCATTCAAATATATTCTAAAAACACAGGTAGCTCCTAATGTGGAAAAAGATGAATTAACACACCCTGTATTTGAGTCCCTATTTTTTCTAGTGCTAATGGATGAACTATTATACCACTTTCTGTATAAGAGGAAATTATTAAGGAATTGATGGTTTAAAAATACAGACAACTTATGGTCCTACATAGCAGTTCTGATGTGAAGCATCTAGTATTACACATGTAACAGTCTACAACTTTGTATTAATCAGTAACGATTTATTTTTGTATCAAATGCAAATGGATAAAATTTGGGAGGCAACTGCATATATCACACCCAAATGAATCTTAATATGAAAGAAACTAAAATTTTCAGAGGCTCTCTAAATTTTTACAATTAACTCATAATTAGAGTAGCAATGAATCTCTAAATAATAATTTAGAGTTTTAAAATAATGTAACTCAATAACATCAAAAACGTAAGTCTGATTTGCAGTTCACAAAGAAAATTCATTAAAATAACCCCTCTGCTAGCTGCATTATCTTAAAAAGGGTAGGAGGGTCAGCAACTTACTGTGTGGGTTGCCTAGCAACTGCTGAATATCATAGTGAATGGAAGATTAGTTTGGTGTGAATCAGAAGTATCAGCAATAACAATAAGCAAATGCATTTGTTCAAAGTATACTTTTAAAATAATGATAGAAATAACGAAAATGTAATACTATTGCACGGTACATATTAATTAATCTAAACTATGAAGAAAAGATACCCTTAAGCTACAAATTAACCAAAGATGCCAGGAGTTATAAATTATACTGAAAAGAAGACTGTCAAAATAAAAAGAAGACGGTCAAAATAAGAAGTTAAAGTAACAGCAACAAAAAGTTAGTGGTTAAAACTTTATGATGTCATTTAGTGTATGAAAATGAATAGCACTGAAATGTTGGGTGAATGTAATACAACCACATACAAGAGGAAGGCATTAAAACAGTTTAGTGGAGGAACCATGAGGATTTTCTAGCATATTTTTAGAAGTTTATGGAAATTTTTTTTGATAAAGAACTATGTCAAGTAACTTTTTAGAACTCTATTTCATATGCTATGTGAATATTCCCCTCCCCCTTTTTACTATCTGATAGTCTGAGAGTAGATTTAATATCCATGAAAACAACAAAAATTCCTCTCTCTTCACTTCATCATTATTTTTCCGGAAAGCATTTGATGATATATCAGAATATTTCTGGCTCAGCAATTCACACTTGGATTTTAACACATGGATTGGCCCTAACTTGTTACAAATCTTTTTCATATTTTTCCTGTTCAGTTAATTTAATAAAACATCTCAATACTTCCCTAAACCTTAAATAAATGTTAACATCAAGTTTACATCTGCTTTGACTCCTTTCCCAAAAAGTCTAAGATACAATTTGAGTCCCTTGCTGCTGCGGTCACAAGCAGTTTCCATATCCATACCAAGAGAAGATGAAGTGAAGCACAAATAATACTATTATTTGGGGCGGGGGGAAGGTCCTCCTTTTCAGCATGGAAACAAACTATTAGGATAGGATGACTCCCAAATGCCCCTTGATTTTCATGGGGAAAAGAAACTACAGTGAAGCACAACATTTACCTATTATTTAAGATTTATGGAGCTGCTGAAACATTTTAGACAACTTAACATTCAAATAACAAAAATAAATAAAATGACAATACAATTCTGCTCTGAACAGTGACTATGTAAAAATGGCACCCTCGGATTCAACAGATCTGCTGTCAGTTTTTACTACATCATACATGTTTACTTTTAGTTACTGAATAAGGCCCCCATCCTGCAAATATTTAAAACATGTGCATAACATTACTCATATTAGGTCAATGGAACCACACACAAAAGCAAAATTAAACACATATTTCAGTGTTTGTAGGATCAGGGCCTAAGATTTTAGTGCATTTTACTCTTGGTACCTCTGCAGAGATCACAAAGCTATGAGTATGCAAGGAGGGCTCTATTCCCACTTGCACAAAAAACACTGACAGAATTATTTGTTTAAGTTCCAATCAGTTATACCTATGCAAACCCATTATAGGTAGTAGGACTGTGCAGGTTTATTCAAGGGCCTATTTTGGCCTGCAGAACCTTTATTACTGGTGATGTGGGGAAAAGGACTGAGGCTTGATTTCTCAGGTTGAGTTCACAGGACTAAAAGTTAGAAAAAAAACTATTACTTGTAAACTAAGCACATTTCAAAACAGCAAAGATTTTCAAAAATAGGAGCATTAAGTCATTTAGATATCTGCCTGAGTTTCAGAAGTGCTGAGTACCAACCAGCCCCCATTGGATGTCAATGGGAACTAAATATAAGGAATCTCTGACACACAAGCAAACATGGAATCCCACAATGCCATTTGACACACATTTGGTAAGAATACTATAAAAATCAAGTTATTCTAATTCTGATCTTGCTTCCTCACTCCTGGTGTTCAATTCTGGCATGATTTTCATAGCAGTCACATCACAAGCTTTAGACAGAGATTAATGTTTTATTTAATTTGAAAGCTAGGATTCCCAGCTGCTTTAGGTAGCATACAGCATTAGAATGGGATTTTCAAGAACACTAAGCATTGGCCAAATTCTGCTCCCATTGATTTCAATGAAACCTGAGTTAGGCCAACATGGAATGCTGCTGAAAACCCCATTCTTGAGCAAATAAGAAACTAAGAGGCAGATCCTTAGATGGTGTAAATTGATACTGGAGCACCAGTTGAGGATGTGCCTCTTAGTTTATAGTTTTAGTGATTCTCAAAAATAATGCCAGAATTTAAGCGGGGGGAAAAGAAACAAATTAAATTAAATGCAAAGTTTAGGTCCAATATATTTCACTGTGCTTGAGGTGCAAACAAGTGTGTACAAATGAAAGGCTGGGAACTACCAAAGATTGATAAATTTTGTTTATAACCTCAATGGTTCATGAGGTATAGGGCATTAAAAGCTGTCAATGATCCCATTGGCCCAGGATTTAATAATACTGGTAGCAAGTTCCAAACAAATGCAATGTTTGATCTGTCACCGAAATTGAACTGGGCAGGTGCCATACAACCTTCCCATACACAGGTCTGCCATTACATCTCAAACCTGAACCATAACACACCTATTGTTACAATCATGATTTTCTCTAGTGCATATTATACCAAGCTGTAAGTGGACTATGAGATGTACTTAAATGAAGACTAGGTTGACACTGAAGAACTTATTTTAACTTGTGCCCTTAAGTATCAATTTAAACACTGCGCTCTAGAGGTTAAATGCTATCATTATTTATAAATCTCTGTGGATGTACTTGATGTTAGTGTGCCAATCAACTGTGCCTACTAGCCTATCATATTTTTGCATGTGGTGGGAAGGGAAAGAGAATATACCACACTGTTTCTGAAGACCCAAGTATATCCCCCATTCTAAACTTCACCAAGACCTCACATCATCACTACCACCCTATCAGCCATGGAAAACTGAACACCACTGCTTCCAAAGTTATTAAAAGTAATCTAGAGAGGTCAAAGTTCAGAGATTAAGGAATGCGTTGCTTCCTCAGACATTAAAGCTCCTTGGTTAGCATGGGTGAGACCACACTAAACAAAACAAAACAAAAAAATCAAAGCTGGGTCTCCAGCACTATCCTAATGGGCAAGTTTCTGATCTCTGAAGTAAACAGAGTAACTTCATTGATCTCAACAGAATTATTTTAGACTTTCACTAGTTTAATGGAGAACAGAACCTGCTACACAGAGATAGAAAAAAATAAGTATGTTAAGAAATGTTATTTTAACTTTATTTTAAATTCAGTGTTACTGCAGCAGCCATCAGCATGAACAAGGGAAGCCAAAATATTGGTTTTGTCTAACTGATATAAAAGCCACCCCAACTATGGCATCTTTACACTGAGTAAAAGGGCAAGAAAATGGCATAAAGGGGCTCTAAAGGCCCTGCATGCAGCTAGGTGAGGATTCTCTCAGCACAGGAACTAAGAAAGATAGCCATAAGACGGCCTCCTGAGGATCCCTACACAAGCACTAATAAAAGGGCCATGTTGAGGACAAAGGTGTTGGGGGTAGGGCTGCTCTGAGAAGCACTTCCACCCATAGAACAACCTGAAGCAACCGCTGTACACCCACAGGGCTGTCTAAATTGCACTGAGAGCTGCTCTAGCCCTTGGAGCTGTCCAGAATCAGAAAGGCACAAAGATAGCTTAAAACCACCATAGTCCCCATCCTCCTTGGCTGCAAGTTCTGGCATAGCACACTTCATCCCACAATTATATTTAAAAGCAAAAATGTATAGAATAATATTTTAAAAGCGAAATATATAAAATGCGTGAGAAAAATCCCATTAGAATTTTATGATTATCAGTTTTGCCAACCCCAGGCACTCAAATATCATGAGTCAGGCCAACAAAAATCATCAGATTGGGGTTCTTTGGATTTGCCTCCTGACATTGCAGCATTCAGAGTTCAAATTTTTAAACTTTTCCATGTGACAAGAAATTTACTTTTTTTAAGATGAAAGATAAAATTCCCAGATAATAATCTGATACCAGCAGCTGAGGTTTTCATAAACCACCAAATATTGCAAAGGTCACAATAAGTTACTGGGCACAATACAGGGGTAACCAGGTGAAATTTAAGGGCCTGTGTTATACAGGAGGTCACACTAAATGATTTAACGGTGCCTCTGGCCTTGAACTCTTTGAGTCTAAGGCTATGGTTACACTACAGCGTCTTCCGCCGACATAGCTACCGCCGCTCACAGGGGCTGGAGTAATTTAGCCAATGGGAGAGCTCTCTCCCATCAGCTTAGAGCAACTATACAGAGAGTTTACAGTGATAGTCTAAGAATCAAATCACAACAGTTGGCAATACCAGGCTAATCAAACACTAAGTTTAAACTATTTGATCCTGCCCCTTTAACATCAGCCCTACAGGCATAAACTTCAGATTTTTCCTGTCCCATAGGAATGGAAAGTTTAAATTCTTTATCCCATGAGCAGCTGCCTTACCTAGCAAGGCAGGGAATAAAATATAAGCTATATTTAATTGCTCCACTTCACGCAAATTACTCTGAGAATGATCCCAGTTTACTTTTAAATAATCTTTTCCTGTAAGCCTACAGTACTTCCCACAGTACATTTTCTTCTTATTTAAACCCGACTTGCACAATCTTTCTGATGCTTTCCTAAACATAGATCCAGATGACCACAGCAAGGATGCATCCAAATGCTTTCTGTTCATTAGATTGGTAAGGCAATGGAAAAAGGCACATGAAGTACAAATGTTAAGAGAACTTAGATCCCTTTAGAAACTTATAGTTACCATCAGAAACCACTGGTGTTTTGCCTGTTATATATGGAATTTCCCACCCAAAGGAATACTTGAGCAGGGAAAATATTAAAATATAAGCTTACCTTTGCAATAATAACTTCTTTTTTCAAAATCTTCATCGCATAATATTTTCCACTTGCCTTCTCTCGGACCAAAATAACTTTGCCAAAAGTGCCTTTCCCCAGTAGTTTTAAATAGTCAAAATCATTCATTGTCTGGATGGAAGAAAAAATCAAGAATAGGATTGTACTATGCAGATACTATATATATGCACATTTGGTGCACTGCCACTACTAAACAGTACCATTGACAGCAAGTTAAGACCAAGTTATACACATAGTGGATTTCCACAATCAAATTCAGAATAGTGAAGAACATTTTAGTTTAAGGCTTCAACTATATCTTTAATGCATTGATTAATATAATTATTGCAGTTTATATTCTCTAGAAAAATCCCAAATAATATAATATAAAATAAGTGATCTTATATATCATATGTAATTATTCTTAGCAACAGCACATGCAGAACAAATCAGTCTTACCTCTGAAATTCATGGATTCTGCCAGTTTAAGAAAGATTATCAACTCTAGCAGAACAAAGGGAGTGAAGAAATATGGCCACTTGCAAGCTTCCTTTAACACCAGGCTACTGCTGGCTCTGGACTGGTGTGGGGTTTTTTTGTTTTTTAAAACATACATGATCCACTAACTGCAATACAACGCCAGTAACAGACCTTGCAGCTTAGCACCAGCTGTTGGCTTATTTAAGTCTTTGGGTATAGAGTTTACTGCTTGATTGTTTTCAGAACCAACCTGGTATTTATGTTTGCATTTTTATTTTCTTTCACTTAATTGAACCACTGCAAAATGGAGTCGAAGAAATCAAAATATTAGCAGCAAACAGATCTGGAAACCTTCATATCTATCAATATAAGCAGGCAGGGTAAGGAGGCTGGTGAATCTGGTGACTACCATCGCTCACTCCTTCTTTACATGATGGGTTTAGTTATCCTGAGGGAACCATTCTGAAGCCTCTTGACTGCTCTAAAAGCAGTTTTGAAGTTACAGAAGGCACAAATAAAGGGTGTCAAGATACTGTGAACACTGAATACAGACTGAAAACATGAAAATAGAAACTGCAAATTTAAAAACTATATAAAATACTCTAGTTTAAGAAAGTCTCTCTAAAAAAAAATTAAAAATCTGGAAAATTAGGAACCCAGAAATCACCAACTGTTAGAAATCCAGGAGTGTTTAAAAGGGGCTGAGCCAGAGAAAGGCATTTAGGAGCTGCAAGTAACAACATAATCCACTAAATCTGATCTTCTTGTCAGTGAAAGGGTGCTCCTCATTCCTGGCATTTAATGATAATTCTCCCACAACTTGGCTACTATCAACACACTTCCATGCCTAGTTATTTTTGCTCATACCTAATAAAGATCATGTGTGCGCATGCGCATGTGTGTACACACACCCACAAATACCCCTCTCTTATGAAGGAAAAAAGAAGATTGTACAGGCAACTAGGCCTCCCATCTGTCACCCATCTCAAATGACAATGATGCACTAGGCTGCTTTTCCACATACATGCCTTGCTAAGGGCTAGTCTACACTGGCAACATGGCAGCGCTTTAACCACCTTCCTGAGAGGCGTGGCTCCCAGCGCTGGGGCACTGTCTACACTGGCGCTTTACAGCGCAAAACTTGCTGCGCTCAGGGCGGTGTTTTTTCACACCCGAGTGAGAAAGTTGCAGCACTGTAAATTGCCAGTGTAGACAAGCCTTAAGTGTCACACACTGGGGGGAGGGGAGAGAAGAGATGGAGAGACTCTCCCATAAAATAATCTTTGGTCCCAGGTAATGTGTACTCAGCTGGGAGCCAGAATACTATGGGTTCTGGTCTCACCTCTTCTACTGATTGGTGTTAACATTTCTATGCACTGTGTTCTTTACTGATCAAGGTCTCATATTCCTACCCTAGGGACAGGAAACTATCATTCCCCACAGTTTACAAATAAGGTAATTGAGATGTTGCACATGGCCACTTCAGGCAGATGTGGAAAAAGAACCCAGGTCTCCAAGACAAAAACAATGCAAAATTCATCCACTTAGCCATGATGCCTTTTGGAATGAGTTTGCAAAACCTACATGCTTGACTGTGATGTCTCTAACCACTAGATCACACTCTGCTGCCAGAACCACAAACAGAACCCAGGAATCCCAATATCCAACATCGCACCGCTGTCTCACCTACAGTTGTGTAATCCACTGGCCAAGCATGTGTTATTTCCCTCTTTAGGGGCTGATACACATACAAAATAAAAGCCTATTCATGTATGTATCATTCACTCCTTTCGTTCAAGTGGTAGAGATCTGTGTTGTGGCTCTGAAGCTCCTGGGTTCAAATCCTGCTGACGATCCATGAGGGAAAAGACGGTATGTGACTATGTAATTAAAGCCTGTTTATAATGCATATGCATAAGGGGTATAACTAAAGCTGCACCAACGAAGTTAATTCTGGCATTCCATAGTACTAGGCTTTGCAACTTTAATGCTCAATGTAGAATTTTTAAAGCTAAAATATAAAAAGATACAGGACCACCACTTAAATTTGCACTTATAGGATGACTAAATACCTCATGACATTGCTAATGAGCTACACCGCCTCTTGCTGTAGGTCTCCAGTCTGAATCCAGCCAAACTCAGTGGTACTTAAAATTTGTTCCCATCTAATGTATGTTTTGTGGCTCCTATATGACTATTTTAGTGAATCACATTTCCTGCTTGACAAACTATCATGCTTTGCACTACACCTCTACCCCGATATAACGCGACCCGATATAACACAAATTCGGATATAACACGGTAAAGCAGTGCTGCGGGGGGGAGGGGGGCGGGACTGCGCACTCCGGCGGATCAAAGCAAGTTCGATATAACACGGTTTCACCTATAACGCAGTAAGATTTTTTGGCTCCCGAGGACAGCGTTATATCGGGGTAGAGGTGTACTTGGTAGATTCAGTAGAGATGCTCAGAACCGTGTAGACCATGGAGAACAAAATATCCCTGTAATCCTTAGAAAGAAGTGTTATTTATCAAGGCCAAAACAGACCACTGTGATCATCTAGTCTGACCTCCTGTATAACACAGGCCACAGAATTTACCTGAATTAATTCCTGTTTGAACTAGAGCATATTTTTTAGAAAAATGTCCAGTCTTGATTTAAAGTTTTCCAGTGATGGAGAATCCACCATAACCCTTGGTAAATTGTTCTAATGGTCAATTACCTTCACTGTTAAAAATGTGTCCATTAATTCTAGTCTGAATTTGTCTAGCTTCAACTTCCCCCCACTGGATCATGTTGTACCTTTGTCTGATGACTGAAGAGTCCATTATCAAATTCCTGTTCCCCATTAAGGTACTTACAGACTGTGATCAAGTCACCCCTTACCCTTCATTTTGTTAAACTAAATAGATTGAGCTCCTTGAATCTATCACTTTTACGCAGTTTTTCTAATTCTTTATTCATTCTCATGGGTCTTCTCTGAAACCTCTCCTCTTTATCAACATCCTTCTTGGACTACATTCTTTGTTCCTAGATGTACTTATTTACATTTGGCAATATTAAAACACTTGTGTGTTTGTGCCCTGCCTCCCAAGCAATCCAGAATGTTCTCTATCAATGACTTGTCCCCTTCATTATTTAGCACTCCCCAAATTTGTGTCATCTGCAAACTATCAGTGATGATTTTACGTTTTCTTCCGGGCCACTGACAAAAATGTTAAATAGCATAGGGCCAAGACCCAATCCCTGTGGAACACCATAGAAATACACACACACACAAAGATTCCCCCATTTATAATTATGTTTTGAGACCTTTTAGTTAGACTGTTTTTAATTAATTTAAGTGAGATGTTAATTTTGTATCATCATAGATTTTTAATCAAAATGTCATGCAGTACTAAGTCAAATGCCTTCAAGAAGTCTAAGTATATTACATCAATACTATCACCTTTATTGTTGAAAAAACCTGCCGGTAGATAAATAAAGGGTTTCATTTTCCATGACTGTCTATGCCTTTTACCTGCCCTAAATCTACACAACTGTGTTTAAAGATGAAGTTTATGATTTTAGGTAAACTTTTTGAAAACGTGATCATTAAATAATCTGTATAAAATGCCACACCTGGAACTGCACACAACCTGAGAGCTATGGGCAAGTGACTAAATATGTTTGCTGATTTAGCACAGGAAACTCAGAGGCATAAAAAAGAGAAGTAAAAAATTGCCAGTGGCTGGGGCACAAAGAGCTGTGGGTCTTTCCAGCTAAAGCAAAGATAATCAATAATGGTGACCTCCAGAAGTTTAAACAATTTGATCATGCAAAAGAAGTTTTTAGAACAAAAGAGAAGGAAGAGGATTAACAGGTAGAGATCATCTCAAAAAGGACCTAATCAAGAATGCTTCTTTTACTCGGTTTTAACTTTATATGATGATTTTCTTACAAAAATCTTTAACCAGTTTAATTTTTAGTGAAGGCTTAGCACAGTGGTTCTCAAACTGTGGGTCAGGACCCCAAAGTGGGTTGCAACACCATTATAATGGGATCGCCAGGGCTGGCATTAGACTTGCTGGGGCCTGGACCTGAAGCCCAAGCCCAAGCCCGAGCCCCGGGTGCCCCCCACCTGCGGCTTAAGCCCTTGGGCTTCTGCTTTGCCCCCACCCCACCCTGGGCGGAGGGGTTCAGACTTTGGCCCCCCATGCAGGGCGGTGGGGCTCAGGCAGGCTCAGGCTTCATTCAGTCCCCCCTCCTGGGGTCATGTAGTAATTTTTCTCGTCAAAGGGGGTCACGATGCAATTAAGTTTGAGAATCCCTGGCTTAGCATCATTTCTTTCCTAAAATTATTTTACACGTTTTTTCCCTCCAATTATAGATGTAACTATACATTAAACCTGTATTAATTTATTGCCACATTGGTACTATTTCAACAAGTTGACATACTAATGTTGATTTTGATCCATCAATTCAACGATTTTTCTTTTCTCGCTCTCCATTAGTTTTTCTATTAACTCAGGCTTAAAATCAGTTGTGGTTTACTTTTTCTTTTTTATCCTTATTTATAGAAAATTTAATGTGTAATAATTGTTAAAACTCCATAAAGACTTCCAAAAATATAATCAACATTATTTTACATATATTTTCCATGTGAATATGCATCTGTGAAAGTTCATAAATCAGAAACAGGCTGTATATTAACAAAATGTTTTAATTAGACAGTGACCAGCTATCACCAAACTCTAATGTTCGATCCTGATCATAAATATATTTCTCTAGGTTCTAAAAATGAGGGATAGTTGTTCAAGTAATTACATGGACCCTTTCTCAGTATTGCACAGCTATCATAATATATCTAAACCCCTGAGGAGTAGCAGAGAACTCACAGAATGCCTTTGTCTTGTAAATTAAAGAGCCTTCTACCATCAATCTATAAATCTTATCCACATGTAGGTAGTACATGATACAGCTACTAGTTAGTGGTGATAATTACTCTATTGCTGAACAACAATAGCTTCTTTCATAGACTGATGAAAGGGAGGGATAGCTCAGTGGTTTGAGCATTAGCCTGCTAAACGCAGAGTTGTGAGTTCAATCCTTGAGGGGGCCACTTAGGGATCTGGGGCAAAATCAGTACTCGGTCCTGCTAGTGAAGGCAGGGGCCTGGACTTGATGACCTTTCGGGGGTCCCTTCCAGCTCTATGAGATAAAAATATATGGAGATATTCCTATTTTATTTGATTGAAAATGGTTCTTGCAAGGACCAGCTTCAGAGATCTTTGTCAAGACTGGAAACCAGAAAGGGTCATAAATTATAAGGATAGTATTTCATAAAAAAAATCCTCTCAAACATAAGAACCCAGTCAAAATGTTTCTTGCCAGATTCAGGACCGAACAGAAATCTGGAGTACTGAAAGTTCTAGAAATGAGCAGAAGATCTTAAGAATCTGCACAAAGTGTCTGGACAGGAGAGGGTTTGAGGTCCAACAGAAATTAACCTACAACCTCTTCAAGGGAAAGACTGACTTTTGTTTTCTATATCATACAGCACCAAGCACACCATCAGTTAAATAATACTAAACAATATTTGATAACAATGAATGTCTCAGCTACCTCAAAAAAGAGTTCCAAGGAAGCATGACCAAAATTAAATAAAACTAACAAAATATGTATATTAGGAATTAGATCCTTGGACTTTCAGTCCTGATATCTTCTTTTCACTAAATAGATATACCACTTTTAAAAGTCAGAAATCTATGCGACTAGCCAAAGCCTCCATAAAAGGGATCATCTCTTCCCTCAGAATCATCACAGACTGGGGTGAGTACAGTCTTATCAAAGTCCATTCAGAAAGTTAGCACAGCATCAATGAAGAAGGGAATACTTTGGTCTAGATGAAGACAGTTATAGGTATGATGGGAAGGGCAGAAAGCCAGTCCTATTGTAAGAATCTGTAATCTAATATCTCCACAAACGAAACTAAAATCAGTGCTATCAAGGATGTAGTTTTCACACATGCCGAATCAAAGCAAATATTACAAAGGAAGGCAATAGCCTTGGAGGATTCTGAGTAGTGGCTTAACAGCAGGCCATGGTCATAGATCTAGTGGTGAAGACAAAAGTCTCTTCCTGTTCTCTTCCTGAGTTTACCAGATGACTTAGAGATGGCAAACAGTGCAGAGTAACACAGTGAGGCCTGCCAAGGAATACAATGGGTGGATATTGGGAGATTGAAGAAGCACCCCTCAACCAGAGGAATGAAAGAGCTGGGACTACTAAAAACTTTGATGGGGTAAAGGGGCAAATACCCATTCACCTGAGGGTTTTAGGGAATTAGACTCTTGAGGGGCTTCCATCCATTAGATGAGGTTCTCGTCTCTTGTCCCTCCCCCTCACCTCCTATTTCTCCAGTGTTCTGGTCCTATTTTTTTTTCTTACTTCTTACTCATTCTGCATCCTGAAGAACAAATTTATGAGGTAAGGGAAAGATGGAGAGAGCAGAGCTGCAGGTTCCATACTTCTGTTGTTGGAAGCCAAAATAACTAAGAAAGGTTCACATAGTTAATCCTTGTATAGAGCTGATTGACTCCACTACTGGTGTTTTATTTGAAGGATGAGAAAGAGAATAGGCTTTACAACAAGTTGTGAAAAACTCATAAGAACATACTCTGTGCATAAAGGGACTGATTCTGTTCCTATTTAAATCAACAAGAGTTTTGCCATTGATTTCAATGAGAGCAAGATCCTGCCCATAAGGAACAAGTGCATAGAGGAACAAAAACAATCTTCAGATCCTAATCTAGCAGGATTCTAGTGATGGTATTAACATTTTATAGCTACAGTATACGTTAAGATTTTAAAAGTTATTTATGAAAAGCACCACCTTTGATTTACAGAAGTACCCAGACTGAAGATGATGGAGCCACTTCTATCAAAATTAAATCATACTCTAAAGATCATTTTATTTACAGACTCAATTTACTACATTTCTAGAGCAGAGTAGTCCCATTTCTGTGTATTTGTTTCTTAATCTGATTATGTTCTTATGCTCATAAGTGTACCATATGGAGCAGGCACAAGCAAAATTCATTGGGCTTACATGTAGAATCATGTGACAAAGCTACTGTGTGTAGGACATAATGTACAACAAACCCCTGATGTTAAACAAACCCATATAGAAAACAAATAACAGGATAGATGGTTTATATGGTTATAAATTGTGGTTCTGAGTATACCAACAACTATAAGACCTTCACAAAATCATATGTCTAGACTGATTTCTAACCAGTGAATACTATCTTTTTTCCTACAGAAAAGTCTTTAATAAAAGAAGCAAGAAAAAATATTCTGAATGATTAACATTATTATAGTATTCAGGACTGCTGGCTGCTGACTCTATGGACATACAGGGAAAGTGACGACACATCCTGTATTAAGGTTACTTAAAATGTTTCATTTTTAAAAAAATTCTTGAAACTTTCTTTGAATTTTGGCAGGGAAATAGCCATAGGGTCATGGATGTGCACTTTACTGGCCTCAAAAAACTCTATTCAGATACAGCTGAGTTATTAGGTATCAAAAAACATTTCCCATCTGAGGTTAGCTTTGTACAGCTTGCTTTAGACTTGTTGCCAAAATCCCTCAACATTCTGTAGCACTGTACATGCACTCATCTCAGGCATCTGACTTCAGATTTCACAGAGATCTCATGTTCTCAATAGGACACAGAAAAAAAATTAATCTTCCTCCTCCTACTCCCTCCCATCCCTTTTGGCCTATGGAAAGATGCACTGCACGGTGACACAGGGAGACCATGAGTTTCAAATGCACTTCTTATAAATTGTGTTAATAATTCTGTACTGTTGACAGCCCTTATTGATATGCAATGTCTTATACTCCACTGAGAAGTTACATAAACTGGGAATAGTACTCAGATCTCTAGCCAGGCAGACCCGAATCCCTTCAATTTAGCCACATTGCCTATCAGAAAGACCCTGCCATATCTTTGGGCATGCTGTTTGTAAAAGAGTACTAAACATGTATAGGTAACCCACTGTTTCATTATGTTATATCTCCACCTCTAGTGGCTGGTTGACATAGGACTCTTCCTGTTAACTGATGTAGTTTGTCCTGGAGCATAATTGGTAGAAGTCTGTGCTGCAATGCTAAAAGCTCAGGACTCAAACCTTCCTGATGATGCATGATGAAGAGATTATTACAGCTGCACATAGCAGGACCTGGGTTTTGCCTTATTAAAAACTAGAGCACAGATATTTTGCTCTCTGTGAAAGACGAAAGTCATCAAGAGCCAAATCCTGCTTACTTTTCTCATGCAAATAATAAATTTCTTTAAATGGGACTATTTGCATGAGAAAGGCAAATAGGAGCTGCCCTAAAGAAAAACTATTTCCAAATTTCTATAAAAGTAAAAAAAACTAAAAGGGAAAATGTGAAAATGTATAATGAATTAGTTGACAATTTTTTAAACCCTGGCACAGGCGTCAGTTGCCTGAAAGAGTGAACTGTGGGCTCAAAGAGTGAGTTATATTAAAATAACGAAACCAGAGGCGTTCAGCTTTAATAAAAGAATTGTATACTTCCATGCTTTATGGTAAACAAACTTTTCTATAAATAATTGTCTTTGCATATTGCTTCTATACAAATACACAACTATACACAAGCTATTTACATATTAAGAATCTTATCAGTTATCTCTGTATCCTGTTACCTTTCTTTTATGATGGGTTGTGGAAGCATCCATCTCCTCCTCTCCTATATTGTCTATCTGTGATGTTGGACTACAGTTCATTCTCTCCTCTTCTTGCCTCTGAAGCCTGTCTGCTACAGCTTGGATGGCTTCTGTCCATTCTTCCCTATCAAGAATAAACCCAAATTCCTATTAATAAAAACTAACAAGGCTTGACCCCTTCTGCAACCAAATATTTTCTAATGAATGCACACATAGTAGTAGTATTTTACCTGCAAAGTTATTATGCTACATAATAAAGGAACTACTGAAGTAATTTGCTTCAATTTACTCCCATATACTACATAGTCTGGCAACTGGTACATGCTCTAGATCCAGCAGCATAGGATATATGTGCATGGTAGATTATATCATAATAATTATGTGTGTTTGATTTTGTAAATACTTTAATAGCAAGTTAAATATCTTAATGAGGCAAAGTATAGCTCAGGGTTTAGGGTAGACAGTATTCTGCAATCCCTATACAGTCTATGTTTCTTGATGGGCTTTTTAAAGGAATATCACTAAGAAACAAGAATTGCACAGTATAAGGCAATGTTGGGCTTTTAAAACAATTTAACTACATTTAAATGTGCGTATATATCTATACTAATATAATATTAACAAGACTGAAAGGAAAGCTAGTAGCTATGCAATTTCTAAAATAATGCCAAACCATGGTATTAATCTCCATTGGAAGTGGGCACTAAGAAATAACAAGGATCACAATACAGCTAAGTAATGATACTTACATGGCACCTCATCTCATGTCTCCTACACACTTGTCTTGCGAATGAAAAGTTCATTCTTATTCTTATACTTAAATAAATGTGTATACATCTACTCTAACAAGGAATTGTGATTATAACTTAAGATATAGTCATAGAATATTGCATTTTCTGACAAAACAAAAGATATACTGGAATGGAAAGAAATTCAGAGCTACTGAGAGAAAAAAAATGCGTTTCAAATTTGGTCTATGTTGCTGAAGATGTAACACTTCAGAGACATGTCATGACAACTTTGGATAAGCTGAGCACATTCTTTCCCTTAAGTTATATAAAGTTCTTATCGTACACTTGATACGAATTAGGAATATTTTACAAAGGCTAATATATAAATTCTTAAAATAATTGCACACAAATAATCAGATTATGTAGTAATCAAAATCAAGACTTGTGCCATACTGGTAGATGTGCTGAAACTTCTGCCCAAGAATTTGGAAGACATAACATTCCTCACCGTTCCTCTGGAGTGTCTACATGAAATGTCCTCTCTATGACAGTTGTCCACTGAAGACATCTAATAATAAATGTATTTGGCTTCGGTCGCTCTGTTTTCATTAGCTGGCATTCTAGAAAGATATAAAGGACATTTTTTTTCTTATAAGTATTGCTATTATAATATGGGAAGAGCAAATAAAATTGTTTAGTTACATTATACATAGTTTATATACACATCTAGTATTTATAAGAAGCCATGGAATGAATTACCCAATGCCTAGCTGAACTTGGGGCATGGATGAAAGCTAGTTAGTTGCAGGCAAGATTGAGATAATATTTGTGGGCTGGAGGAAACTTCCAGAAGAGTTGATGGAATTTGTATCAGTGTCTCTCATACAAGGAGAGTGATCTCCATTTGCAAAACAGGTGTGCAACTTGAGGGTGGTGTTAGATCTTGGACTGCTCAAGGATGCCAAGGTAGTGCTTGTAGCTAATGGCATCCCTTTTCCATCTGCACCTGCCAAGATGAATGTGCTCTTTTATCTGCAATGCAAACCAAGCCCCAATTATTTATGCCGTTGTCACTTTAAGATTAGATTGCTGTAGTGTGCTCTCCATGGGGATACACCTTAGGACCATTCAGAAGCTGAAGCTAACAGAACGTTGCAGACAGCTTATAAAGAACATATTATGATCTGCACAGTCTTCTAATAAGCTTCCAGGTGGAATTCAAGGTGTTGGTTTTAATATATAAAACCCTAAATGGTCTGGGAGAGACTAGCTTCTTTCCCCTGGTATTCTGCCACTGTTAAGATTAGCAGAGGGGCTCAAGATGGAGCTCCCTCAATATAAAGAAGAGGGAGCTGCTGACAGGACATTCTCTGTGAGTGGCCCTCTGTTTTGCAGCTTGCTCCCCCAGCTCTGCCAGAGCCATATTTTTCACCTTTCAAGCATACTGTAAAGCCCTTTTTTTTTTTTTCCAGTTTGTTAAAGCTTCTGAGAGTTGAGGTGCATATATTTATGCTGTAATTTTAAAATGTATAAGATAGTTACCCAGAGCACTAGATAGGCACTTATCAATGTATTTTTAAAAACTGAATACATTAAACATAATAAAATAAATATTTGCAATATTGTACATATGAACATACATTAATTCACAAAACTATATTCGCTGTACATCCATAAACATATATTCCTATACAATGAATGGTAATTAGAAGTTTGCTTTTTTTTGCGAGAAGAGAGTTATGTTTAAGTTAAATTCTTCAAAATTTCTTAGGGAAGGAGTAAGTTCATCCAGATCTTCCCATATATAACTGAAAATCAAGACAAAATAGATAAGGCATTTCAGAGAACGAGCTAGACGACAGTTACCTGTAACTGGTGTTCGTCGAGATGTGTTGCTCATGTCTATTCCACAATAGGTGTGCATGCTCGCCACGTGCACCGGTGCCGGAAGTTCTTCCCCTAGCAGTACCTGTAGGATAGCGCCCTAGCGACCCCTGGAGTGGCGCCTCCATGGCGCGGTATAAAGGGAGCTGCGCGCTCCCCCCATCCTCAGTTCCTTCTTGCCAGACAACTCCGACAGAGGGGAAGAAGGGCGGGATGTGGAATGGACATGAGCAACACATCTCGAACAACACCAGTTACGGAAAAGGTAACTGTCTTTTCTTCTTCAAGTGATTGCTCATGTGTATTCCACAATAGGTGATTCCAAGCTATATCTGTTGGAGGTGGGTAGGAGTTCACAAATTCTCGGGACGGAGCACAGCCCTGCCAAACCCGGCATCATCCCTGGTCTGGGAGACGATTGCATAGTGCAAGGTGAACATGTGAACTGAAGACCATGTGGCAGCCCTACAAATGTCCTGAATAGGGACATGGGCTAAAAAGGCAGCCGACAAGGCCTGCGCCCGAGTCAAGTGCACCTTCACAACTGGTGGCGGAGGGAGTCCCACCAGGTCATAACAGGTACGGATGCACGAGGTGATCCAGTTGGAGAGCCACTGAGTGGAGATGGGCCAACAATTCAGGTGCTCGGCCGAGGAGATGAACAGTTGTGAGGACTTTCTGAATGGCTTAGTCCGCTCCAGGTAGAAAGCCAGATCTTGTCTCACATCCAGCGTGTGGAGGTGGCGCTCCTCACTGGACGCATGGGGCTTGGGGCAGAGGACCAGTAGAAAAATGTCCTGACCCATGTGATAGGCGGAGACCACTTTTGGGAGGAACAAAGGGTGTGGGCGGAGCTGGACCTTATGATTATGAAACACCATGTACAGGGGCTCAGAGGTCAGGGCCCTGAGCTCCGAGACCCATCTAGCCGACGTGATTGCAACCAGGAAGTCCACCTTCCATGAGAGGTGTGACCAGGAGCACGTGGCTAGCGGCTCAACCGAGGACCCCATGAGACAGGCCAACACCAGGCTTAGGTCCCACTGCGGGACAGGGGGCCTAACATATGGGAAGAGGTGATCCAACCCCTTAAGGAATCAGCCAGTAATAGCATGGGAGAATACCGTATGGCCCTGCACCGGCGGATGAAAGGCCAATATGGCCGCCAGGTGCACTTTGACTGATGAGGGCGCCAGGCCCTGGGCTCTAAGGTGAAGAAGGTAGTCCAGAATAAACTGGATCGGGGTGGCCACTGGGAAAACGCCCCCCTCGTCTGCCCATCTGGAAAACCGAGACCACTTTGCCAAGTAGGCTTGGCGCGTGGAGGGCCGCCTGCTTTCTAGGAGGACACACTGAACCCATTCCAAGCATGTCCTTTCCTCCCTACCTAACCATTGAGCAGCCACGCCGTGAAGTGGAGTGCCACTAGGTTGGGGTGGAGGAGGCGGTCCTGGTCCTGGGAGAGCAGGTCCGGGCGGGACGGCAACGGCCACAGTGGGGCAACCGCCAGGTCCGTGAGGGTCCCGTACCAATGCTGCCTGAGCCATATCGGGGAAATCAGAAGGACCCTGGCCTTGTCTGTCTTTATCTTTTCCACGACCTTGTCGATCAGCGAGAACGGGGGAAAGGCATAGACAAACTGGCCTGACCAGGACAGGAGGAAGGCATCGGAGATAGCACCCCATCCCAGCCTCCCCAAGAGCAGAAACGGGGACAGCGACAGTTCTGCCGAGTCGCGAACAGGTCCACCTGAGGAGTTCCCCACACTTGGAAAAGTCTGTGCACCACCTCTGGGTGGAGAGACCACTCGTGCTGAGAGGAGAAGTCCCTGCTCAAGCGATCCGCCCACGCATTCCAGGTGCCCAGCAGATGGAAGGCCTGTAGGCAGATGTCGTGGGCTATACAAAAGTCCCACAGCCTGAGGGCTTCATGGCAGAGTGTAAAGGATCGGGCACCACCTTGCCTATTGATGTACAACATCGAGGCCATGTTGTCCGTGAGGACCTTGACCACCCAGCCCGCCAGGTGCGAGCAGAAGGCCATGTATGCCAGCCGTACCGCCCTGAGCTCCTTGACGTTTATGTGGAGGGTCAGATCCTGAGCCGACCACAGACCTTGTGTCTGAACATTTCCCACATGGGCCCTCCATCCCAGGTCCGACGCATCAGACACCAGCTCCAGCAACGGGGTCCTGCCCCTGAACGGGACCCGTTGGAGCATGTTTCTCGGGGAGGACCACCACGGTAGGGAGGTGGTCACTGGCTCGGTTACTGTGAGGACTTTGTCCATCCTGTCCCTGGCCTGGGAGAACTCCAAGGCCAACCAGAACTGGAGGGGCCTCATCCTGAGTCTGGAGTGATGGACCTCATACGTGCATGCCGACATGTGACCCAAGAGCTGGAAGCACGCTCTGGCTGTTGTCACCGGAAACCTTGTGAGCGTGTAAATGAGCCCATTCAGGGTCCCACCTATCCGGTGGGAGGGAGGCTCTGGCCCACGAGGCATTCAAGACCGCCCCAATAAACTCTATGTGTTGAACCGGGACTAACGTGGACTTGGTGTTGTTTACCAACCGGCCCAAAGTGGTGAACATGGACAGAAGGAGTGCCACGTGATCCTGCACCTGCGACCAGGAGCTGCCCTTGACCAACCAGTCGTCCAGATGGGGAAGATCTGGACACCCCCCCCCCCCCCCGGTGCCTGAGGTAGGCCGCCACCACCGACAAACATTTCGTGAATACCCTGGGGGCACTGGACAGGCCAAACGGAAGGACCGTATATTGCTAGTTTTCCTGCCCCACCGCGAAACGGAGAAAGCGTCTGTGCCCCTCGAATATATGAATGTGGAAGTACGCGTCCTGCAGATCGAGGGCGGCGTACCAGTCCCCGGGATCCAGGGAGGGGATGATGGAGGCCAGGGAGACCATGCGGAACTTGAGCTTCACCATGTATTGGTTCAGGCCTCACAGGTCCAAGGTGGGCCTGAGCCCCCCTTTGGCCTTCGGCATAAGGAAATAGCAGGAGTAATACCCCTTGCCTTTGAACTCCCTGGGTACCACTTCCATCGCTCCTAGGCCCAAGAGCCACCCCATCTCCTGCTCGAGTGGAGCCTCGTGCGAAGGGTCCCCCAGGAGGGACGGGGACGGGGGGTGGTTGGGCGGGGAGGAAGTAAACTGGAGGGTGTAGCCCCGGGAGATGGTGTTGAGGACCCATCGGTCTGAGGTCAGTCGCAACCACTCCAGGAGGAAAGCAGACAACCGATTGGAGAAGGAAAGCTTTATTGAGGGTGGATCCCTGATGAGAACTGGCAGGGTGCCTCCAGGCATCCTGTCAAAACGGTCCCGCTTGCTTGCCCTTGGAGGACCAAGGCTGGGGGGTAGGCCGAGACTGCCTCTGTGGGCACCTCTTATAGTCCCACTACTTCTTATAAGCAGTCTCGTATTTTGAGTGGGTGGGCTGAGCAGGAGCTATGACGCCCTTCTCATGGACACCGCGGAGTCCATGGACCGCGCGGCCGTGTCCGCTGCATCCGAAGCCACCTGCAGGGTTGCCCTGGCAGCCACTATACCCTCCTCCACCAGCACTTTGAACTCCTTCCTGTCGCGCTCCTGGAGGGAGTACTCGAACTTGGGCAGGGAGCCCCACAGATTGAACTCATACCGGCCCAGGAGAGCCTGGTGGTTCACCACCCGTAACTGGAAGCTCGAGGATGAATACATTTTTCTTCCAAAAGAGT